GTAGCCTCCTAATTAGGCCCCTGTCACTAACACATGCTACACAGTGCTCAGACTGTCTCCACACTTATGACTTTATCATCTTGTCCATAGTTTCTTTAACTGAAAAGAGAAAATTCAGCATCTTCACCTCTATATAAAAGTAGCCTCCAGAAAGAAAGGAGTCAGCCTTTCCAATGTTCTCTCCCACTACTCTCCAGCACGAACCAAACTGACGTGAACTAAACTGAAGGGGCTCCTATTTCCTGCACATGAGCTTTCTTTTGTTTTCATTTCTTTTTGTTGTACTGGGAGTTGAACCAAGGGCCTCTGCACTGAGCTACACCCTTATTGCTATTTTTTATTTATAAGACAAGGTTTCACTAAACTTCCCAGGCTGGAATGGAATTTATAATCCCCTGCCTCAGCCTTCCAGAGTACTGGGATTATAGGTGTGCACTACCACACCTGGCTTGTACATTCCCTTTTTAAATCAACTTGTACTTTTCCCTGCTACCTGACACTGCTGCCTGTACCTAGTTATATCTAACATGAGGTGGAGAACTGGTAAGACTCGGTCAAACCTCAGGGCACATAAGGATGCTTCAGGACAGCTTTGAGGACATGACCCCATTGTTGGCACAAGTGTTCAACAGGGCACAGTTATATAACCATGACTTAGCAGGGGACAACTACGCATGTGCCAGTGAGGCCAGCAGGTAAGAATGTAAACAGGTGATAACAACATGCAGCAGAAGCTGCTTTCCAGGACTCAAAGAGGGCTGTGCACAGGTACAGGCCTTATGAGTTGTTGGCTCTACCCTGCGATTTATACTAACCATCAGTGTGCAGGGTGATGGCTTTGGCTGAGGCCTATGGCTGACGCAGGGGAAGTAGAAGAGCCCTGTTGGGTTTTGGTCCAGTCGTGGAAGGGAGCCGAGAGCCAGTATTCCCTGACTGACAAACAGATGGCAGCAGTGTATACTATTCCACATGGCTCTGAAAGCATCACAGGACAACAGACAGTACAAGTGCAGGCAAATACCCAATAGAGGGCTGGGTACAGACACTGACAGCCCGTTCCAGGAGTGGAGTGGCACAGAACTCCACTCTCACACACTGGGGGATGTACCTCCAACAGCGGGCCTTTTTCTCAACTAGCCCATTGGCAGCCAAACTGGCAATGGTTTGGGGACGCATGACATGCATGGCCCAGGAACCTGTACAGGATTCAAAGGACATGACCCTTAGTCCCTTTGCAGAGGGAAAGAGGGACCTCCGGCTGACATGTGGTATCCTGATGGGTCTAGCTGTGGCACAGTCCCACAACGGACAGCAGTTGCTGTCCAGCCCAGCACGGAAGTCCTCTGGTTTGAAACTGAACAGGCAGGTCAAGCCAATGGGCAAAGTTGTGAGCAGTATGGCTACTTGTGATGCGTGAAGAAGGCCCCCTACATGTTTGTATGGACAGTTGAGACACCTTTAGGGGGTTAATGCACTGAGTGCTGGTTTGGGCAGCTCAGGACTGGCGGATAGGGCACTGTCCCTTGTGGAGTGTCAACCTACGGTGAGACTTACAGGATCGTGGTCAAGACATTAACTGTGCAGGGTTGGTTAGGGATAGGGTTAAAGTTAGGATTAGGGTTAGGTTCAGGATATAAGCCCTTCCTCTTGCCAGGAAATGGCTTAGCTCACACCTTGACAAGGGTAGCCACTCTCGGAGGCCTACTTTCTGCTGTGGTACTTTGGCTCCACAAGGCACTGGGATATTTGGGACCCTGTACCATGCAAGCTGTAGCACAATGGCATCTGGACTTGACCCCTGCTGAGGCAATGGCTGCAATAAAGGCGGGTCCCCAGTGTGCTCATTTGGCTCCCTGGAGGCAGAGCGTGTTCACAGTGTTGGGCATGAGACCTCGAGAACCCCATCCGCTGCAGCAGTGGCAGAATGAGCCACACTAAGAGCATCACCACGTGGGTACACACTTTTGCCCACGGACCCAAGAGATGCACTGAAGCCTATCTTCATCTCCGAGATGCTGCTCAGGTGCGGGCTGTATAACTGGGGAACAAACAAGGACCAAGGCAACCTAGGCACTGGCCAGGATACATATTTCCACACAATTTACTTTTCTCTATATATTTATTTACTTTTCTTTCTCTTTTTTTTGAGGGCAAACTTTACTTTTGAGTAATTTTAGATTTACAAAAATTTTAAAAAGAATTCCTACACACTTTTCACCCATCTTATCCTAATGTTTTGTTAAAGATGCACTAGAGACCAAACTCATAAGTAAAATAAATCAAACCTACATATGTAAACATCACATTGTCTCCCTAGTGTAAGAACCTAACAGAGTAAATAAAATCTGAAAGGTACAATAGATGTGAAATGGAAAGAAACTGCTCAAAGGGAAGGAACAACTGGGATGAGGGAAAGGAGAAAAAGGAAGAAGGGAAAAAATATGTAAGTATATACAAAAATAGCTGTGATAATTGTACTGCTGATTTCTACTGGTTTACTGAAAAGAACAGTTAATGCTTAATTTTTTTTTCTTATCCTAATCTTAACACAGTATCTATTCATGCCACATTTTCTAACACTAAGAAATGTACACTGGTGTGTGACTATTAATTAAACTATAGATTTTTATCTGGATCTCACCAGTTTTTCCACTCATGTTCTTTTTTCTGTTCCAGGATCCAATCAAGGATACCACACTGCATTTAGTCATCGTACCTTAGTGTCTCCCATCTGTGACAGTTTCCTAGCCCTTGTTTTCCATGACCTTCCCAGTTTTGGACAGAGCAGTCAGTATTTTTGTAGGATCTCTCTCAATTGGGTTTTCCCTAATGTTTTCTCATAATTAGACAGGGCTACGGGTTTGGAGAAGAATGGTGCTGCGATGCTCTTCTCACCATCTCCTATCAGGAGGCTCACAGTATCGACAGAGTAAGTGCTGAGGATGTTAAACCTTGAGGCACTAGGTCAAGGCAGTGTTTACCAGTTTTTTCCTCTGTCAATTTACCACCTTTCCCCTTCCATATGCTTTAATGTGGAAGGCATCTGAGTCCAGCTCACACTCAGGGGAAGTGCCTTAGCCACTTTACCATCACTGGGACAAAATACTCAACACCTACAACTGAAAGGAAAGGTTCATTGTGGCTCACAAGGCAAAAACAGGATTACATCAGGCAAAGCAATGGGAAAGTTGCTCAACCCCGGCAGCCAGGAAGCAGAGAAACAAAGCAAGAGACAGGGACAGCAATCCACCCTTCCAAGGATTGAAAAAAAAAAAAATTATTAAAATGTATTATGCACCAACTCCCCACGAGGAATGTAATCATTATGCCCTGAGAATATGTATTAATAAAATATAATAAAATAGAAAAAAAAGAACACACCCTGCCAGGTCACACCCCCAGAGATGCATTTCCAACCAGGCCCCACCTCAGCACATTCAGCACATTCAGCACATTCAGCTACGAACTCATTTCTGCAATGTTACTGTCGGAACGGTAAAATCTGCATCCATCCACAAGGAAACACCAGATAAATTCAAACTGAAGGGCAGTCTACAAAATAAAAGTCACTCATCTTCAAAAACACCAAACCCACAGAGGTCAACAATGATTACAAAACTGTTCCAAATTGAAGGAGACTGAAAGAACAAGGCAGCTAAATTCTGTGGTTGGATCCTTGAGACACAAAAGCGACATTATTAGGACGCTGATGGTGAAGGCAATATGGGAGCTTCTGTATTGCCCTCACAAAACTTTCACAAAGGTCTGAAAACGTTTCAAAAAATAAATTTTAAATAACATCATTTTCATTGACCATTAAGGTCTGAATGTGTCCCCCCCAAATTCTTACATTGAAAGTCAATGACCATGTGAAAGTATTAAAAGGATTAGGTCATGAAAATACAGCCCTCATGAATGGAATTACGAATGTCTTTACAAAAGGGCTTGTAGCGGGCGTGGTGGCGCACACCTATAATCCCAGCAATCAAGAGGCTGAGGCAGGAGGAACGTTGCAAATTTGAGGCCAGCCTGGGCTACAAAGTGAGTTCAAGACCAGCCTGAACTACATAGTGAGACCTTGTCTCAAAAAGACAAAAGAAAAAGAAAAAAAAGGGCTGTGAAAATGGGTTCCCCCTTCTGCTGTGTGTGGACAATTACACAGCACCATCTACAAGGGGCAGCCTGAACCAGCCAAGAACCTGCCTTGATCTTGACTTCCTAACCTCCAGAACTGTGCAAAATGAATTTCTATCCTTTACAAGTTACCTAGCCTCAAGTATTTTACCACAATACAAATTGGCTTCATGAAGCCAAGACATCGGCTTTATGAAATCCAAAACACATTGCAAGATTTTCTATTTTTCTTGGTAATAAATTTGTGCTTTGGGTGGTTTATCAGACAATGCACGAAAGAGACTAAATGCAGCTTACACATTCGGAATAAAGTGATATTAAATAGAGAATGATGACTATGGATCAATTTTAGAAGTGCACAGGTCATCAGTAAATGTTTTTGTATTAGAAGATGTATTTTACTTCCTTAAACAAACTAATTTCTTTTTCCCTCCCACACAGGCTCTCACTATGTAGTCCAACTCGGCCTTGAACACTTAGCAATCCTCCTTCCTCAGCCTCCCAAGTGCTGGGATTATAGGTATGTACCACCACGCCCAGATGACCAACGAAATTTTTGACACTGCATATTTTTTAACTCCAACATTACCTCTTTTAAGGCTCTCCATAAACTTGTCAGTGCTACAATTATTACCTTTTCCTACAGATGATAAAAATGAGGCTTACCAAAGGTTAATACTGTGGTCTCAGAACTTCAGAGCAACAAAGCTGAGGTTTAGAGGCAGTCTAACTCCAGAACCTATTCTGTACATCCCATCAGTGCTTGAGTAAAACATACGCCATCCGATTCCTTCATTTATCCCACGCAGATGTGTTCACACAATATACATTTGGAAGGATAATGAAACTGCCACATGAATTCCTACCTGTGTCTGCCTCATCGCCCGTTCCACTCGCCGTGTGCTTCCTCGCTCAAGTTTTGTCCGGAGGATCAAGGCTGACGTCTGAATGGCCCAGAACTTCGGTTGTGAAAGCAAACACTGATGGAAGGAGGGAGGGAGGAAGAAGATCACAAAAGGAAGGGATAAGCTAGAAATCTTATTCTGAATAGCAAAAAATTAATTCTGCCAAAAATATCAGGATCAACCGAATGCAGATTTGATGATCTAAGCAAACAAAGGCAAAAAGTTCTTTTTTTCAATGCACATAAAAACTTACTCTAAAACACACCAAAAATGTTGGTTCCTGGTCTTCATTAGAGGTAAGAAGTCTCCAATTTTAGTTTAAATGCTTTCCAAGAAAGGGCATTTAAAGAAAGACTGGCAGGCCGGGGATATAGCTCAGTGGCACAGCACCTGCCTGGCAAGCATGAGGTCTTGAATTTGACTCCCAATACCAAAATAAATAAATAAATAGAAATAAAGAACAAAAGACCAGCTTAGAAGAAAACTTTGAATATGCACATACTGAAACCTAACCCCTCAGCAGCTATGACTGCCATCAATTCAGAAAACATGGGGGAAGTCATTAAATAGCATCACAGATGTCATGGGACATGAAGGTGACAGTTTGAGGCAAAACAAAATGTATTGTGATAAACAGGGACAACTCGGTATAAGGAACACAACTTAAGCTCTGTCTTAAGGTGTGACTTGGAATCTAATATTGTTCCCCAGTGGTCAGTCCCAGTAATAACTTTCATTAAAGCTCACATAACGGAGAAAAAGACTCACTTATTTGTCTGAGAGCTGAGGCCATCCTTGATCATTGTGTGTTGCCTGTTACTAAACAAGTGTTTGCTTGTTTCTAAAAGACAGGTGTGGAAAATATCCTAATCAAGAGTCCAATCAATCATTTAAAAACCTAGCTGCTCATTAAAAACACCTGGGAAGCTTTGGTAATTTTTGAAGCAAATCCTATCTCTGAGAGCAGATCTAAGTATCGGTGCTTTAAAAAACATTCCTCAGGTAATTGTCAAGTGTAGCCAAGTTTAAGAACTACCAGGCTAAAATAACACAAGTCCTTGTCATTAGACATATCCATTCATAACTCCAAATTCTCATTAAAGGTTAGCAAGAAGTCCTTTAACAGAGCATAAACTGTATCAAAATCTCTACAACTCCTTACTATATGATGCCCAGTCCACCTCATTCATTCGTGTTGCTGTCTGGCCCCTGTAAATATTTGAGTTTTTAATCCTAATCTAGACCAACCCCTTTCACAATGAAACACCAAAGTTAAAACCATTTCCTGAATATCATGCCTTCGGTAACAGCAAAAGCTGGTACTGACACTGGTCTCCTAGCCCCAGAACAACACCTTTACATTATTTTAGGATGCTTTTCCAAACAAAATTAATGCTCATTTAAATGGCTAAGTTAAGATACGCTTATCCACGCCTGGTGCTACACACCTGTCATCCCAGTACCTGGAAGGGTGAGGCAGGAGGATCACAGCAAGTTTGAGGCCAGCATAGCCTACATTGTGAGTTCCAGACCAGCCTCAACTACATGGTGAGATCCTGTCTCAAAAACTTAAAAAAGAAAAAAAGAAGATACGCTTATCTCTTAGAAATGGATGATAGGACTCAGAAGAAATAAGACAACAGAATAATGTAAGACACAGGAAAGACCCCTGGAGATAGTGGAAGAGTATGCAAAGAATCAACACAGGAGGGAAACTAAAGAATGAGAACTTACTGCAGCTGGGCTCTAGACTCCACGGATAAAGCAGTAAGCAAGACAGAGGTCCCTGGTTTCACAGAACTTACATTCTAATGTGTCTTATTAAACTATTTATTTCTCTAACCTAACTGAAAATTAAAATATTTTTCTATCCTTGAAATATTGTTTTTTAGTATGTACAATACTATCTTGCAGGGGCTGGGGATTTAGCTCAGCGGCAAAAGCGCCTGCCTGGCAAGCGCAAGGTCGTGAGTTCGGTTCCCGGTACCAGAGAAAAACCAAAAAAAAAAAAAAATACTATCTTGCAGAATATTTATTTATAAAATGTCATCTCAGGAACTTCCAAAGGCAGGAATCTTTCTCAGGTAAATCTGCAAACCCATCCACAGGGAGCGGCGCCCCAGTCTTTTCACCCTCCGTGGGGTCACCCGTCAGCAGGGGGAGCGCATTGGGCAGCAGCACTCACGACAGTGGGAAGTCTCCAGGCAGCCGAAGGGAGTCCCAGCTCCCCCAGTTAGCTGTGCGGCCTCGGCAAGCTCCTGGAGCCTCCGAGTCTCACCTCCCTCCACGGCAACGTTTCCTCTTCCTACAGTGTTCTCTCTCAGCCCACAGTGGGCAGGCAACGGCGCTCGCCTCCCAGCTGACCCATGTTCTGCCAAGAGAGCAGTGCAGGGCACGGGCTGGCTCGAGGCACATGCCATCAAAGTCCGGTGCTCAGCAGATTATCCCTTAGGCAGGACTGCAGCTCAGTGGCGGAGCACTGGCCCAGCATTCATAGGGCCCTGGGCTACTCAGCACAGGAAAACGAAAAGGAGAAAAGGTTGTCCGACACATTTGCACACTGAAAGCATGAAACGGTCTCCTCAGAAAACAACAATAAAGTCAAACTGTTCTCTACATTGGCTTGAAAACAAGAGGTTTGCCTGATACTTTCCCATGAATGTCAGGCGAAACTTCGTCACTGAACACTGAAGGTAAAATGCAGTCTCACGGACATCTGAAAAACTTGCAAGAAGGGAACTGAGTGGATAATGACATCATGGAAGAATGTACCATATCTTATATCTGTTGGCTAGGAGACAGACTTGAGAAAGTCTTTCTGAAAGGAAGCAGATAGGCTATATTTAGTACATTACACAAAACACTGCTGCCATGAGGTAAGAATAAATCCTAACAAGGAACATTAGATAATGAAAAAGAAAACTGAACAGGAGTTTTATACATGCTCTCCTGACTTATGAAGAAAATCGTGGGGCTGGGGATTTAGCTCAGCGGCAAAGCGCCTGCCTGGCAAGCGCAAGGTCGTGAGTTCGGTTCCTGATACCGGAGAAAAACCAAAAAAAAAGAAGAAAATCGTATTTTAAAAAACTTTCAGCCCAATACTTCAGCAAACAATCCAGTGGGAAAAACATCAATCTAACCTGCTGTCTTGATCATCTTTCTGCTGAGACAAAAGTACTTTTCACCCACAACTTAATGGAGGAGAGGCTTATTTCAGCTCACAGTTTTAGAGGTCTCAGTCCATGGCTGGCTGCTCCAAGGCAGAAACGTCATGCAGGAAGGGCATGGCGGAGCAAAGTTGCTCACTTCATGGCAGCTGGGAAACAGAGCAAAGGCGCGGAGCACCATAGAGAGATCCACCCTCCAAAGGCGCATGTCCCGGTGACCACCTCCTCCTACCCGGCCCCACCTCCTCAAAGCACATTCAGCTATCAACAGCAGTGGATTAACCCCCTGACTAGTCCAGGGCACCCACGAACCAATCACCTCTCCTAATCCAGTCAAACTGACACTCAAGATTGACTGACACACCTGTCTAAGCAGCAGGGCAACCCTACTGGTCAGAACACAAGCCGCAGTCTACAAAGTTGCCCAATAGGAGGCACTGTTCTTAATTCACTTACCTTAGAACGTAAGAAATGATCACCCTACTACCTGGTTCTGTCTGAGCTTCAGGTCTCTGCTTAAATGTTACTTTGTCAGAGAACTTTTTCTACTCCTTCATCTGAGTGACTCCATCTCTATCCAGCAGTTCTCTATCACTATCCAGTCTGGCTCCTCTGATCAGAAGTCCCAACAATTCTGTTCACCAGGGCCTTACAAAGTGCCTGGCACACGGTAGGTACATAAAGGAAGGACAGAGAAAAGGAGTTTTTCTAGGTCCTCTTTTCCAAAGGAACAGGGCACACAGTGATGTGAATTCATACTGACTGGTATTCATCATGACTTTTTAAAAAAATCACAATTTCACCCCTAAAATCATAATTTCCTTAAATAAGACTGGAACGTAGTCTCCCAAAGACACAGTATTGTAAATAATAGCTACCATAAAATGCTTTAGTTACTATAATCCAAGTAATTTATAGGCTTTTGTGGGGCAGCACAGAACTTAACATTACCTAAAATATTTTTCTTCAAGACAATATGCTTTCAAAGCCAACTAAAATAACTTACAAGTTTTTTTAAAAAATAAGTCTCTCCTAAATTGTGACACATAACGTATTTGGCACAGTGTTAAACTGTACTAAAAAAAAGGTCTGGATACAGGTCCGGGCCCTCTACCAATGAGCTCCACCGGGAAAGGTGTTCCCCATTTTTGGACTTTATTTTACTCATCTATATAATGATGGGATTAGATGTGAGGCCTCTAAGGTTACTTTCAGCTGTAAAAAATTCTATTTGCTTTACAGCATTAAAAATAATAGAGTAAGGTCCCAACATAATTGAAGAAGCTTTGTAAAAATCTACAAATTAAGATTAATTCTTCCCTGCTCCAGCTTGCTTTCTTCCCAGCCATTACATACTTGCCCTTGAATAAGTAAATTAACCTCTCTGCAGTAAAATGTCTTATCCATAAAGAGAAAAAAATGGGACAAAAAGAGAATCAAAGTTTACTGCACCTCCAAAGTTCTGTAATAATTAAGGAGAAATAACATCATTAACCACTTACCAGTCCAATTATTTAAATTCAAGACAACCAAAATTTGCATATTTTGTCATTAATTTGGGGAATTATTTTGGAGAGTGCCGGAAATCAAACTCAGGACCTTGTGCCTGCCAGCCAGGCACTGTACTGTTGAGCTATATCCCAGGCCCCTCATTAATTTTTATAACAGGAAATATAAAAGCAACAATTTTATTGCATTTGTTCAATACAAGAATTGATTGGTTCAAATGACACCTGCCCAAGTGAGGTTCAGGACAGTCGGTACACAAACAAACACGCTGCCTGAGTGACGCTCAGGGTAAACTGTTCATGGTATGGTCTGAGTGTGTCCTAGGCTTCAGTGCTGACATTTAATCTCCATTGTAAAGTATTAAGAGCATGGAAACTTAACCTGACTATGGTGTTTAGA